CAAGAAAAAAGGGAAAAATTCAAGAAAAAAGGGGAAAAAACCCTAAGAGAAAAGTTTAAAAATAAAGTTAAAAAATTAATAAGCCTAAACAAACAATTATTTTAAGGTTAATAACATATAAAAAATTAAGTGCAAGTATCAGCATTAAAGTTTCTAAGCTTATGTTGAACCAAGAAAAATGTTTCTTTTAGTCTCAGTGTTTTTCATGAATTTTTATTAGAAGCACTTTTGTTATTTTTCTTTATATATTCGGGCAAGTTGGTGTTTCTTATTACATTGACATGAATTTTTGACATCAAAATATCCATATTTTTTAATGTTCCAAAGGTAACAAGGTTAGATTATTGGCTTGAAATTTTGATTTTCAAAGTATTTTGCTTAGTGCCCTATAAAGGGTTAAATTAAGTTTATTTGTTCTTGAATTGAGTAGGTAAGTGAGACACTTTGCCAATGCAACAAGACAATTTTACATTAAAAATAAGAAAAAAACAATGACATTGTCTTTTTTCAAGTGAATATTATGAAATTATCTAATTTAAGGAGTAACAATGCTCACTCCATTGGCAGATCATCTTATTTACCTACTCAAATTAAGGGTAATTACTCTTAATTTAAGACATCTTTACTTATTTCTAGTGTTTTTGTCCTGTGTAATATTTTGTAGGAAAAAAAATGTACTGAAGCATTAACAGATTGTCTTTTTTTTTTTTTTTTTGTGGGGGTGTGGATTTAGGTTTACACTGATCCAGAGGACCATAATGTAAGTTTTATATGAAACAAGGCATGAATATTCCTTTGCTATAACTGGGGCAGATTTAGGAAATTTGGGGCCCTTGGCAAAAAGGGCCAAAAAGGGACAACAAATAAAACAGACCCATTGTACAGATACATATTTTTATAGAATAGACGTATTATTTGATCTACCTTTTGTCCCTCTATTCTTTTCCCTTTTCTTGCTGTTTTTCACTCTGTTTTCTTTTGTCCCTTTTTCTTTTCATATTGGCAATGAGCTCAGCTGACTTAATGCTGTCTCAAAAGGAATCATCCTTCCTGTGTTTTCAAAATGGTGACAGCAAAATTTAATAACCCAGTCCTTCTTTTCACTACAGACAAGACACGATCTGCTTATCTCTTCCCCATTTTTCATTTAAAAGAAATGATAGATTCATGAGTCATGACAGTAGACAAGAGAGAGGAGAGCAGGGTTGGGGCTATGAATCAACTTGCTCTGGAGAGCAGAGTTTGGTGCTTTATATGTTGTCACCAAAGTCTCCAGTTACAAAAAAAGTCACTAGATTTTGGGCTTTGGTGCTTTTTTGTAATAAAAGCACTAGATGGGTCTAAAAAAGTCGTTAAATATAGCAAAAAAAGCGCTAAGTTGCAACACTGCTCTTCCCACTGTTTGTTTTTAAATGATTTGCTGCTGTCTGTTTGGACCTTTCTGAACATGCGCAGCAAATGGACTGATCCAGTGTGGAGGACACTGAAGGGCGGGCCTCCAACACACAATATTATAAGCATTCTGATGGAATTGAACTAAAGTATTATCATCATTAACATAACTAATGTGCACAAATAAGTATTAGCTGTATTAACCGCACATGTTAAAGGAGTTTTATAGGGGTCCCAGGAACTTTGGGCCCTAGGGAACTGCCTAGTTTTACCTAATGGTAAATCCACCCCTGCAGTAACTTGAGGCATTGTTTTTTTTTTTTTTACTTGCAGTGCATCATCGAGTCCTACCAGTTTAACTTCAGATACTCTGAAGTTGGACCAGAAATGGGCATACTCAGGTGTGCTTACATTTCCCTGTGATTTAAACACATAGACACTGCCTATAAATGCACCGCTTCAGTCAATGGTTTATAAACCTCTTTCTGAAAAAAAGGAACAATGAGATGCAGATGCAGGTGACCCTGGAGGACACTAAGACAGCCTCAGTGCTGCTCATCAGGAAGCTCTTCCTGCTTATGCAGAACCTGGGCGTCCTTCCCAGCAACGTCCACCTCACCATGAGGCTCTACTACTACGACGACAGTAAGACTTCAACTTTTTAACTGTTGCAGAAAATTAAATAATAAAACATTACCCTCTACCCAAACCACGGGTCTACAGCCATCAGCACAATTAAATCACAAAGCAATGTTTTTAAGAATTACATTGTGGCAGTTTTTTTCAGTTTTGTTAAACTGTGTTGAAATTTCATGACAAAAATATTAAAAGTACCTGTAATACTTCTTTGGATCTATTTTTCTATTTAAAACATCTTTAAACACAACAACAAAAATCATCTTTAAACACAAAAATGAAAATAATATAGAAGACCTATTTATCCTCTTTTTGCTGTCGTTTTTCTATATTTTATAATCTAATAACAGAAATAAATTTGTGGTTCTTTGAAATAACAGATCTGTGTGAATTCAGGTACAGGTAAGCAGTCCATTCTAAGATGACAACAAATTTCTTTTATTATAAACGTTTAGTTTTCCTTTTTCTAAGCAGTTCAGGCAATATTAGAAGTTTCTTTTAGCCGAACTGAAGTCGGAAATCTCCCTTTGGACGGTAATAGTTGCAGACCGCCTCACCGTGTGTAAATATAAATGAGTTTCAAAGGAAATATGACCTTAAAAAGGCCATTTATTTCAGGGTTGAGTAATGAAAAAATGACTGAAAACCAGAAACAACACAAAGACTTGACATCCAATGTTTGCAGAGAAGGATTAAAGATGCGAGCCTTTAGTTAAGAGGTATAAAACATTTAGTACAGATGCATGAGGACAGCCAAGTTGCAATAACAAGCTATCATCAGAAATCAACTGGGATGTTAATAAAAATAATACAAAAATCAGATCAGAAATTAGAGCCTTTTGTAGTTCACATGAATGTAAGCAATTGATCTATAATTAAGATAGAAAAAAAAGGTAAATGTCTTTTAAATTAACATCAAGATTCTTGTTGGGTCAATTCAAAATGTTAATAACTGAAGAAACATGTTGGTAGAATGAAGGTTTCTCAAAAACTTAAAGCCACCAGGGTGTGAATCATCAAGTTGGAAACAACAGTTTTTTCTTTTATAGCTGTTAGTTGTGATGAAGTCATTTTCATCTTTGATTTCCATTCCTAAGAGAAAACAAAAAAAACGAAGAAAAAAAAACCAACAAAGCACAGAGAATCAAGTTGTTTGTTTTCTCTGCTTTTAAAGTCACCCCTGCAGACTACCAACCACCAGGCTTCAAGGAAGGGGTGTACGACCGGATCTGGTTTCAAGGGATCCCGGTGCACTTTAAAGTGGGCCATGTGGAGACAAGCTACCACTCACTGAAAGTCCGAGTGTCTGTGGACCAAGGCCAGGTGAAGAAACTAGAGGAAGGAAACGAAGTGAAGGAAACAGCCATCCAGGTGGGTTCAGACTGCAGCACAGCATCACAGTCCACCATAGATCCTTTCTTTGTTTTGTTCCCTTATGTTGTTTTTGCTGTTGTAGAATCCTCCTGCAAGAAAAGCTGATAAAGGCACTCCCTCTGACGATGGTAGGTGAACATCTCCGTCTGGAAATTCAACCACTTAAAAGCATTTTAAACTGCATTACCTTTGCTTCAAACAGAGTCTGGGCAGTTTAAGAAACAACCAAGACCGCTGAGAAAGGTACAGGACAGTATGGAGATATGACGGAAGCAAACCTTATAATGTGCAGGATTTTACATGAATTAGAACAAAAGGTAAGAAGATCTTTTTCCTTTCCGTCAGCAGAAAAAAGCGGCTACTAAATCTGGGGCGAGGAAGAAAATGAGGATTTAGGCCAGGAGTTCAGCACGGTGTTACCCGAGTTTATTTACATCCACTGTTCAGGATCTGCTTCAGTTTATGGGATTTCTAACCACGAAGCTACAGAGATCATTAAAGAGATCATTTTAAAAAAGAGCAAACTTACTGTAAAGAGTTCAGTTCATTAGTGCAGAAATGTGTTCAGTGGTCACTGAAATAAAACCTGGTTGTTAACAGCTCGTGTTTTAGTGTTATTCATTTAGTTAGTGCTGCAAACACATCATTCTTTAATTGATCCCCATCAATCAGAGCTGGTTTCTCTGAACATTCCCTCCTTCTGACGGCTCCTTCGCTCTGGTCGCTGCTCACACTTCCTCTGGCGGGCGGGCGGGGGTCTAAAAGAGGCTGTCCACGTCTCCCATCTCCACAAACACAGTCTTTAGCTGGGAGTAGAACTCAATCGTCACCTGGCCGTTCTCCCGTCCTATACCTGATAGATGGAAGGACGGGAAATGTACGCGATTATTGACATTTATCATTGTCAGGTGACAAACACAAACTTAAATGTTTGGACAGAATTATAAAAGGCAGAAAGAAAACCTAAAAAAAGGTCTGCAGTTGCATATTCTCTATTGTTTAGAATTCACCTATTTAGCAAACCAAGTCCTGTGAATGATCCGAACTCAGTCTAAACTTAGCTGTTCATTCAAAGGCATTGCAGCGTTGTTGGAGAACATAAGTGAACAAACGGCTTCTTAAAGGCAGAGGAACACAGCAGACGGGTCACGGGGAAAGTGGTGGAGAACTTTAAAGCAGATCTGAACATAAAATATCCTTTAAACAATATCTGACTTCTATGTGAAAATGAAAAACTTTAGCAACACTGCAAGATTTGCAGTTCTTTTCCATGCCTGCTTTTCCTATTTTCGTTACACCTGCTTCTAAAGCTTATTAGAGCTCTGCTGATGATCTAAATGGTTTCAGTCAGGTGTTAATGGAGCAGAGACGCATCTGAAAGTTTCAGGACAGTGACCTTTTTAAGAGCATTAATTTAGGAAATGAGGGCAAGAAGGAAGCCATTTGGCGGCCACAACAGATGCAGAAGATATACTGGTTTGACTGGTTGAAATTTTTGGATTTAAGGGGCTCGCTTTGCTTCAAGACAACCCTAAACATGCAGCCAGAGCTGCTGTAGATCTCAGCTTCAGAAATGGCTTATTCAAAGTCCAGCAAAAATGCAACGGAGAAGCTTGCAGGACTCAACAACAAAATAAAAGACTGACTGTGTGTTGAGAGAATGTGAAGATGCTCCCCCTGAAATAATTTCAGTAAAATCTTTAAAAAGAGTTCAGCCCTTCCATGAGTCTTTCTTAGCTTGAATGTGAGAGATGGAAAGGCTGAATCCTTTATTGTCTATATCACCCAGAATGCTGTGCGCTTCTGGATAAGCATTCAGGAATATTTTACACATTTGATCAGGTGTTTGTTGTGATACGTGTCGTCATCATTTTATTGCCTGCTCCAGCACTATATAATAATATAATATATATAACAATACTAATGTATTATTATACCAGGGGTCTGAAACCTGAGGCTCTGTGGAGGTGTAGCTTATTTGATCCCTACAGTGGCCCTATAAAGTGGTTAAAAATTGACTAATTTTTACATATAGTAAATGAAATACTTTTCTTAGAAGATTAAGTTGCTTGTTAAAGATTGTTGGAATTTGACTTTTAAAACAGAACGATCTTAAAGAACCAGGAATATATCATACAAACAACATTTCTTTTGCCATGAAGAAACTATTTTTATTTTTTACTTTAATAATATTGTATAAAAAAAAATGAATGCTTCTTCTTAGTAAAATGTTGATGTTTTGTCCTTGTTGTAACCCCGTAAAGCACATGAAATAATGCTGAGGAAAATACAATTCAATTTTTATAAAAGCTGGACTGTCACTAAACATTTAATTATGACAAAAACAACAACAGTTTATTGAATAATTTTAAATAAATTAGTTATTTGTGTCATTTGTGATGGATTAGGCATCTCTGAACTATTATTTTATACATTTTCTGTCTGCTACATTTGTCTGATTATATTAATCAGGATTAGGGTTGATACTGAAAACGTTGTATAAGGATACAATACTCATTTCAAAATTACTTGATACAGCCATCTAAAGTGCAGAATAGTGGAAAATGCACTTTCAGAACACTGTGTGATTGAATAATTCTGTGCATTTTTCAGTTTCAGACTTTTTTTTTTAACAGGTGCAGATGCTGAGAATTATTTTTGTTTAACTGGTTTGGCTTGTGTCATTGTTATGTCTGCAAAACATAGCCAAGGAAGGAACACTTAATTTTAATTTTGTAAGTTTTTTTTAATCAAGCTTGCTTAATATTGTGCACAGCATACAACCTCAAAATATTATTCTTATTGTTTTTTTTATTTATTTCTTGTATTTTTTTAGTAATGAAAATATTTCTGTTGAATTTTAGAGTCTTTTTTTTATTCTTGTGGTATCCAAAAGGGTATCGAGTATCGAATATTTGACTTAGTATCGGTATCGAGTTGAAAAGTTTAGTATTGTGACAACCCTAATCAGGATATTTAAAAAACAAACAGATTACTTCCCACTGATAATGAAGATGTACATTGATGAGATACTTTGGGTGTTAAAGTCTTCAAAACTAAAAGCTGTTTGGTATGTGAAGTGGCAACAGATTGTATTACAAACTTTTCTTTTTTTATTTTTTTTTCATGCAATATTTGCGGCTCTAAAGGACTTTTATGAAACTGGGCTCCAGTTAAAATGGCTCTTTGGATTAGAAAGGTTGCAGAACCCTCGATTAGAAGGTTGACCACTCCAGGAAGCCTTTAGCCCCCGTTCCCTTGGAAAACACTTAGTCTGTACCTGACATTTTGAAGCCTCCAAATGGAACCTCCACCGGAGTGATATTGTAGTTGTTGATGAAACAGGATCCGGCTTTGAGCTGTTCCACCACACGGTGAGCTCGGGTAACATCCCTGGATACAGAACGGTGCATTAGGCGAACAACAACCTTTACATCATTTACATGCTCTTAATTACATTTTCTTAAAGAAATACAATGATTAAAGAAGGTACGCTTTCTCCCCAATCATTTCTCCTTTGAGTTTAGGCATAAATACTTCCATTTGGCTGTCTGATTTTTTTTAAAAACACACACTGACCTTGTGAAGACACCAGCAGCCAGACCCAGTGTAGTATTGTTGGCCCTCTGCAGAACCTCCTGCTCCGTTTCAAAAGACAGCACAGACATGACGGGACCAAAGATTTCCTCTTTCACACAGGTCATCTCATCAGTGCAGTCACCTGTGGGCAGGTAAAGGAGACCAGGAGAAAACCTGACAGCTTTTATTGGGTTTATACAATTTAATCAGCTCATGTAAATCGCTAAAATCCGTTTTAATAGAATCACAGCCAAAGTTTCATTAAATATAAAAGGAATATGTATTCTCTGCATGCTTTGATGACAACATTACAAAAGACTAAAGATAATGTTCTTGAGTTTACTTCTGTTTTCTGGGTTTTTGTCTCCCCCTGCTGGACCCTCTGAGTTGGTAGTTTTTGAATTAACCAAAGTTATTTTACATGTTTTGAAGTTCGTTAATAAAAAAAAAAAAACAGAGTAAAAAGTCTTACCGAGGACACACGGCGTCATGTAGTATCCACCTCTGAGTTTAGGATCCGATGGGACAAAAGGTTCTCCTCCACACAACACCTTGGCTCCCTAATAGCAGCAGCATGACGCATGTCAGCGGTAAATCCACAGACATGGGGGTAAGTGTTTTAAGAGCTGTACCTCTTTTTTTGCTTGCTCTACAAAGGATAAGACTTTGTCCAGATGTGGCAGGCTGACCAGCGCTCCCATTCTGGTGCTCTCCAGCAGTGGGTCTCCTATTGTAATCGCCTGAGTTCTCCTAACCACCTCCTTAACGAACTCGGCCATAATGTCCTTCTGCACGTACACCCTGGTGCCATTGCTGCAGACCTGTGAGTTAACCATTAAAAACGTAAAGATATGAAGACAGAGCTGGACCCAAAATACACAGGTGTGATAAATACTCTCCATATGCATTTTGAATGTTTTATGCATGCAGATTTAATACCATGAGGCCCAAATATATCACAAGCATGAGGTTATGCTCCTTCTCTGCTCTCTCTTGTTTTTTATGCACCAGATTTTCTCCTACTCTCATGTTGATCTGTTTCTGTGCGCTTCTGTAAAATTTGTGGAACCAATCTGAGAAAGTAAACTGCAGGTGACTGGATACTTTTAGGAAAATCCTGCCCCTTGAAACATTACTGCTTTCTTCCTAGTTGTGGCTATTAATGTTAGCAAATGTCTTTAAGCTAATTGTTGCTCTTTTAAAAAGTTAAGTCAGGGTTTGGTCAGGGTTTTCACCATGGATAAGAGGTAAATTTTTTAGTCAGTCAAAGGTTCTTTACATGTAAATAAAATGAGTGTGTCGGCCTGATTTTCGGTTTAAGTGTAGTGGAGCGTAATCATTAAGCGTAATTTCACAATAAAAGTATAACTTGGTCACAAATGTGTTTTAACAACA